GTCTGAACTGTAATTTTAAAACTGTTTTGTACTGTGGACCATTAACATTTCTTTTTTCTTTCTCTTTCTCCTTTCAGCCTGGTTATCCTTCATTACATTAGATTTGACCTTTCTTTGTGTATCTACTCAATGTTTATCTTTTCAAGAAATGCTGCTGTCTACAGATTATTATTTTCCATTTGTTTCTTCATGCACTTAATGAATGGATCAGTGGTAAGCTTTGACCATAGACACTACAGCTTTGAGAGCGTGACCAGCACTTGCAAACCGTGACTCCTACTGCTGAACACCAGAAGAGATTTGCACCGAAGCGTGGGATGTGCTCGTACTTACTAGATATAGCACTTCTGCCATACGCAGGTCTCTTTTGTTAGCTAAAATTAACTGGGATGTGTTTCTGGCACCTCGCTGCTGCTGTTTCCAAAGTGACAGCCTCCTCTTTTGCATCCCCAGGAGATCACCTGAGAAATGGTACATCTTTTTCTAAACACTGCCGGCTTGCCTTCCCCAGCCAGTGGAGGGCTCCCACCATGTCAGGTGCTGCCGTGCACCCTCTGAAATGACAACCCCCGTTCCCGGGGGTAGGAAGGAAAGAGCTTTTCCTGTCACATGCCTGCTTGCAGGACACCAGCCTCTCCCTTGCTGGGTATGAGAGACCCACTGACGCTCCGAAAGCCAGCAACAGCCATGTCCTTCTGACTGTCTCACTGTATCGCACCAGACCCGGTCACCAATGTGTTGTTTCTTTAATGACATAACGATGTACAACCTCACATGGTTATAACCATGTCATTTGTATCTTTGATTAGTCCTTACTAGTAATGGTGTAACTGCAAACTGCTTTCTCTTCTCCAGCATGAATCTTATTTTCTGTAAACGTGCCACAAAGTTTAAAAATATATTGCTACTTTTTCTGGCCAATTCTGCCTCCAAACTGCAGAGTGGGGTGAGCATGGCAGGAACCTCTTTCTGCAGACTTCTGTCCAGGAGAATAGGTGATTTCTGGGGTGCTGTTTCCAACATACATGGTGTAAGTTGCAATTAGAAGATTCATGAAAGCACATCAGTGTTTTTCAGATACTTCAGTGTTACTGGGATACTCAAAGGGCCCACCAGACACTGCAGACAGTTTGGTATCCCAGATTTTAACTTTAATATAATTTCTTATTTTCAAGACTACTTTACACAAACTGTGTTAGAAATCATCAGCACAGAGTTTCTAATCTATGTAATCCTTTGGACTACTCATGCAGAAGGCTGCTAGTAGACAGTAAAAAAGGTTTATAATGAAAAACACCCTAAAAGAGTTATCAATATTTTTCTCAAGTCAGTTCTTCATATCTGTATTTCCGTATCATCTGTCACATTTTAGTGGAAAAACTGCTAAATATGTGTTAAATAAGGCTAAATATTCTGCTAATGATAGATTAAATACCTCTAACAAGGGCAACCAGTGTATTCAGTTAAGATCTAAATATAATCACACTGTACACCTTAGCTCTCTTTCAACTTCTCTTCCTGTCCTGGAATATAATTAGGCTGGAGCCTTGGGGACTCACTCATTGCTAACCAACATCTCGATGATCTTGCTGGAGCCAAAGTATATGTCAAGTAAAAACCACTGCCTCTAAGAATAGATTCACGTTTCCATTGTTAGGTGCAGTAGTAACATGGTGAAGGGTCTAGAGGGGAAGATGTATGAGGAGAGGCTGAAGTGCCTTGGTTTGTTCAGCCTAGAGAAGAGGGGACTGAGGGGAGACATTACGGCCTACAGCTTCCTCACGAGGGGGAGCAAAGGGGCAAGCACTGATCTCCTCCCTCTAGTGACCAGTGATAGAACCTGTGGGAATGGAATGAAGCTGCGACGGGGGAGGTTCAGGTTGGATATCAGGAAAAGGTTCTTCACTCAGAGGGTGGTCAGGCACTGGAACAGGCTCCCCAGGGAAGTGGTCACAGCACCGAGCTTGACTGAGTTCAAGAAACACCTGGACAACACTCTCAGTCATATGCTCTGATTCGGCTGGTCCTGTGTGGAGCCAGGAGTTGGACTCGATGATCCTCATGGGTCTCTTCCAACTCAGGATATCCTATGATCCTATGAATTTAGACTACCAAGAAAATATAATACATCTTAAAGAAAACGTAGCCCTTAAAAACAATGCTCCGGCAGTGCCAGCTGTGCTAGAGCTCCAGCTTTCGAGGCCTTGGGTATGCAGCCACTGCTGCAGCAAGCAATGGCCGTCTTCTGCACTGGGATGGGCAGACGTGTACTCGTGCCCACCTCCTCACCTGAAAAGCAGCTCCACTCCACCTTGAAGATGGACTGCCTCAAACTGCATCTCTGCATTGTTTTTCCTTGGGTCAGGGCTTGCCAGGAAACAAAGTCTGCTGTGGGTGGAGGTTTTCCAGAGGCACGCAAAAGCCAACAGATAATCAGCCGTATGAACGCACAGCTATTTATAAATGAAGTGCCGGTAAGCTGCCTAACAGCTTGTTCTGTAGGTAAAAAGAAGATTTGGCAGCTACTTTTGATCTCCCAGAAGCCAGGCTGGCAAACACCCAACGCCCGCTGCAGAGGGGGTGTTCAAAGGAAGACACAAGGCAGCTTAGTGCCGACCCGGCAGCCCAACCGTAGGCTTCACGGGCAAGGAAAGCAATGAAAAACTCTGCTAATGAGCTCAGCGCAGTGGTGTTTCAGATGTCCGTAACAAACACTGCGTACAATTCAATATGGCACATTGTAAACTGCTGATAAAAATCATCAGTGTAAGTTCAGTGCAGGACTAAACTGCTTTCCTCTGGGTGCGGATCTCTCGTAGACCTTTTTTGGCGAATGGAGGCTGCTTCAGGAGGGCCGTTTCCCTTGAAGCTGTGATTAGCATTTATTTCCCTGTGTTGGCATTAAATTTAGCAGTAGATGTACTTACTTTTTAAAACTAGGAACTCAGTAAAATCTTCAGATTTTTCTTTATAGAACAAACTAGGGATGAATAAAGTGCTCTCATAGTGCTAATATTCTATTCTCATTTTACAATTATAATTGCAATTCTAATACTACAGACTTAAAATGCAAGATATCTGACATCGTACAGAGTTATTAATATGGAACTAACCAATTCCTCTGAGTGGAACTTTGAATATGATTTCTTACTGAGATTACAGAGTCTTTAAGTAACTGGATAAAAAATATTTATGTGTATTTTGGGCTAAGCTGCTTATTCATGAATGATAATCAAATGCATAGAACATGTCAATTTATTTCAGATCTATAAAATACAAATCTAAAAATATCATTTTACAGACAATATTCAACATTTAGTTTATATTTTAGTATGGTCTTAAGCCTATCTCGCACAGAATAATAATGTAACAGAACAACAAAATATTCTACATTTTAACTTTTTAGATTTCCTTAACTGGCATCTACCATATACATCAAAAATAATTGTGCACAGTAACTGATTAAACATCTACATTTCAAGAATAGATTTGCTATATCTCATAACTGAGACACCAATTACAGTACATTTATGAAAAATCCTTCAAGAATACACTCAGTAGTAACAGTGGCAGCAGTAGTTAAAATCTTAACAGTTCTGTGAAATGATCAAAGCAAATGATAACAGAATTGAAAAATTCAGTTAACCATTTATATGTAACGTAAACCCCGTGTAACACTACAATGGAAGAAGAAATTACACGGGCACAAGTGCAAAAAAGCAATATTGTAAGCCATCTTCTCTCTTTGGTAAAAATCAATTAGCAGGACGTATACCATAATAATTCAAGTCAAAGACTAATTCATGCTATATATATTTTTTTCCTTTCCTACCATAGGCAGACTTGATGATTTGCAGGCATCCTACAGTAGAGAAGTTAAAATTCTACTTAACACTGCCCATTTTTTCCTCTTTTAAGTTTAAATATTGAAATTAAAGATAAGGCTTTTTTTTTCTTTCATAAATAGCTTTTCAGTAGTATAGTCTCTTAAGGAATTTAAAAATAAATAGCAAAATATACACAATTTTAAAGATTACATTTATTTCCTTGTAGGTATATCCTGAAAATATATCACCAAAGAATAAATAACTTTGGATTTCTCAAATATTTGGTAAAATGTCAATTATTCTTACCTAAGGAGTTCTCTCTGAGGAATAAGGAAGTACCATTGTTTTTTCTACAAAGCTTTTACTATACAGGTGGAATTTTAGTAACTTTACAGTAAGAATAGAATCTGTTATATAATATGGATGTTACCCATTAAAAAGTACAGTAAAAAAACCCTTCAAAATTAAACTTTCAGAATTTCAGGTTCAAACCTGACGAACTTCCAGGTAACTCTGAAGTTCTCCTGACAGGACAGTCAAGCTCAGTTGTCTATGTCAGGAGGCTACATTAACAGTTAAGATAAATTCCTCTAGTGGCAGAGCCAAAGCTGTTTTCTACTGACAACATATTAAAAATCCAAAAAGGACAACATGTTAAGGAAGGGACAAAAGAGAAGGATGTGGGCAAAGAACACTTGAGTGTAAGCCATCCCAAGAAAGAAGTCAATTGCCTACAGGGATTTCAATATAACCATAGATTTTAAATAGATTCTTCTGCTTTTGAAGGGCATCACCCTCATGAACAATTAAGGTAATGTCATAGGGGATTTCTATTTGAATTTGCAGGTTATCATCTTACTCAAGCTACTCCTTCATATTTATCTGAAATTATTACTAAAGATAACAAAAAAAATGCTGGCCACATCAGCAAAGCAACTAGTTATAAGAATCCAGCAACTCGAAGTTGTCATTAGACATTAAAAAAAATAATAAATCTTAACTGCAGGAAGATCTTCTGGAGGGGCAGAGCAAGTGTCCTTGCCTTTTCAGAAGATCCATTTAAGCTGCCAGCAAAGAAAAGGCAATTTTGACTGCTCATTTATTCAGAATTCATAAATAACATGTAGATTCACTAACCTCCTATTCACACCCACAGTTAATTTACATAAAATATTAAGCAGAATGCTTTTCTACTCCTTGTTTGATTCCAAGCACAAGATGTAAAAACCAGTTAAATTGCACAGTCCAGCCCTTATCTCTGCAAACCTCTATCTGATCAAGAAAATACTTTTTGGCATCTTCTTCGCTTTTCCCTACTGTCAGTGCATCCCGGATATATTCAATATCCTCTTTGCTGGTTAATTGGGGCATTCCAGTCATTAGCATCATGGAGAATAGGATGATCAGCAGGTTTGTGTGATGTCGAAGAGCTAAATAAGCCTTCACACATACGTCCTACAAGAGAAGAATTTTTTGTTAATTGATGAGGTTAACTGAGAGGGATGGTGTAGGAATTTCGCGGGACTCTCATTAACCAACGCTATTCAATCACTTGAGTTTGTCAGACAGGGGAGATCCAACAGAGCTGTTCACCTGAGCAGGAACGTAAAGCAAACTTCTGCGTCCGTCGCTCGGTATTACTTCATTCATCACCATACCTTGGGACAGCAAGTACTGTTTTGGTGTACAAACTAAAGGCTCTTTTTAAAAATATTACATTAATTGTTAAAGCATAAAACCTTAGCTCCACCAAAATTTCAAATTAATTTCCCTGTCATCTAATCTCTTTCTGTGGCTGTTCAAAGAGACAGCAATAATTCACTGTCTTCCTTTCCAATTGGTATGTTCCCGTTTAAAGACCGTGGCTGGCAAGCGATACTGAATAAAGCAGCACCCCCAGGGGACTGCTCGGAATCCTGTATATCTGTATCTATATCCTTCCATCTATATCTATTATCTGTGCAGAGGTGATGCCTTATTTAATGGAAAAGAGTTTTCAGGCTTAGTGTTCTGAGGAATTTTTCCAGCTGATAGCGCTAGTTTTCAGGCACACTGCCTTGCTGTAGGACTTCTATATTTACATGCTGTCATACTGGATTCCATAGATTTATTTTTTTAACAGCTTTTTCACTTCCATGTGTAAGTAATTTGTGTTTAACAACATAACCTTTAGAACAATGAAATTTCTGCAGCTTGGAAAAACACACAATGCTTTTTAAAATAATATTTAATGCTAAGTGACTAATACATAAACTGGAATGATTATTTCTTATATTAAATTTATTACTCATTTACTTTTAGAAATAACATCTTAAGGAAGACAATGCAGTGAAGAAATCAATCATCTGTTAGAAAGTTAAATTGGGCCTGCAATGCAGTAATGTAAAAAGATGAAAAATATTTCCAAGAAGGTTGTTGCTATTAAAACCAAAGCTGAAGCAATGCTAGGTTTTACCTAATTAAATATTCAATTTAACCCTTCCACATATATATATATATGAATGTATCAAAGAACTCTTAAGAAATCCAAATATTTTCATGTAAAGTTCTGCCAAATCTCATCAGCACTCTAGAACACTATTTTTGACAAGGTGTATGGTATTTTTCTTCCTTAGAAACAGTAAGAAGTGCACAAATCATTTTAACATGAATCTCTGTTCACATCGGCCAGAAAACCGACCAGACAGGTTCGGAAGATATGAAGGAAGGAAGATGTTATGTCTAAGATCTGTCTGTAAGGTTTCTTTTTTCCTATTGCCTGGGCCCTTAAATCTTTCACTTTGTTTCCAAATAAATTCTGTCCTGAAATAAGATCATACTTATGAACTCTAATGTTAGTTTACCTCTAGCAAAGCAGAAGATAAATTGCAATGGTCAGAGCACAATTTACAACAGAAAACATCACCATTTTATTGCAGGGATTAGTTTCTCTCCATGACACCAGGGAAAATATAAAAAATGAAAAAAAAAAAAATTCTACTTATGTATTATCAACTTCAAACAGGGAAATCTTGTCACAAGAGTTAGCGTGTGTTTTGTTCCCCTCAAAAGAGATGAAAGCTCTTTATAGTTATATCAAAGAAGGTTTTGCATTTCTCTATGGATGATGCATCTCACTATTGCGGGTGTCTGAGACAGACAAACAATTATGCAGTCAAGAACCTGGCATCACTGCATCTCTGAGGCAGTCTTTCCAGGAATTCAAAAGATTTTAAAAAATCTGTATCTGCCTGTTACAGTTATTTATTCAGACAGGAACTGAATGGAATTTTGAATTAACATCTTCCAAGAAAGCTAATTTTTACACCTCTGAGACAGGCAGAGAGAACCAAAAATAACACATACGTACGTGTGAAGGATATGTAGATGTTTAATGTGGGATTAAGAAGAAAGCTGCTAACTCTAAAGCCATACGCAAAATGAGAAGAGCTGAGGAGAAACCAAAATTCCATTGTCCAACAGACAATAAAGAATAATTATTTTGAGAGCTTGAGACTGTCCTAAATATTAGTATCCTAAAGGTCAGGCATTTTTATAATATCAAGTGTCCAAATTCTGTTATACAGGCCCTTTCCTGTACACTATACTACAAATAAGTATTTTTTCAATGATGAATTGTCCACCCTTCTGCTTTCTGTCACCTTTACTTGACAATCAAATACATGAGATTCTGTAAACAAATGGTACAGAAGAATTTGATTAGTACTTAAAATACAGATCTCTGTATTATCAAGTCAGCAGTGTAATGAAAAAATAATGAATTAAATAAATTAAATATAATGAATAAAAACACATTCAAAATTTAATGCAAAAACTAGCAAAGACAATTTTAGGCAAACTAAGAATAGGTAGGTGGACAAGCTCAAAAGACTATGAGAGCGCCCCTTAGATAAGGCTCTCTCAGGGGTTTCTACAAGTAAGAAGTGAAAAAGTTGTGCGTACACAGGAGTAAGGGAGTTGCATGGGTTTCAGCCAAAGGCTGGAAAGGAAATGCTACCGCACATGACACTTACAGCAAGAGAAATCTGGAGAACACTAAGGCAGCTGAAAAAATCATAGATGGAATAGAAAAATACTTTTCTTCTCAGATGAAGTCATGCTTAAATACATTTTTGTGATTAGGACAAAAGACCATCAAATCCTGCTTCCTACTAAGCATTTCTGTGATGTCATTAATAACCCTGGCCTCTAATTTTCATTAAACCATCATAAGGAATGCAAACAAAAAGGGAAGCAAATTTTAGATTAAGAGCTAATAGGAATGAGCTTTACTGCTAGTTCCAGAAAAGTTGCCAGGGCCCTGACAGCTTTAGAAGTTCATCAACAACAAACTATACTCTGTTACAGTGAACTTCGGTCAAAATTACTGTCTAATTAACCTCCTCTGACACCTGCAATATGAGCTATGGCTAACACATCTGTATGGACTGTATTCAATAAGTGATAGAGAAATAAAATTGAAAAAAAAGTGGATATTTTAAAATATTATAACCACCAGAGCCTGTAATAAACAAAGGATTCCTCTAAAATATAAACTATTTTAATGTAGTTGAAGTACAAATTAATGAGAGATGCTCTTAAAAATTAATGAGGGATAAATGCTGAGCCTTTTCCATTAATACATGAATGAGTCAGCAGGCACACTGAATGAGTCCCTCGTATTAGGAAACGTGATGAAACCAGCCAGTTGAAAAGTGAAGCTATAATTTTGTTTATTTTTGTACTCTGACCATATCATTAAAACATATATTTTTTAGAGCAAAATATGTGATACGGATCTTGCTCTGTGTTACTATTTTACTTGTATGGAAGTATTTTAACTTTTTATTGGTCTTTGAGACAGAAAAGTCTGGAGAGTCTTTGAGACAGAAAAGTTTATAAACTGGAATAGCAGTTTATAAACAGTATCTAATGCAGCAGAACTGTACATGAACTTACATTTTTGGGTCAGTATTGTTGTCTGTGCCTAAATCATCCCACTTAAAATGACCAGGTCACATATCACAATCACAGTTCACAAAGGTAAAACACCTTTCACCTGGTTAATGACACTAGTGGAAATGACACTGGCATTACCCCACTGCAGACCCTAACAGGCTGCTAGTCTTCCAATTCTCCATTAGCACACTTTCAACTATTTTCTGCTTCCAGAACTGAGGTCTTTAATGACATACCTGAGTGCAGCGTTCCAGCCCCACATTTGCACATGGCTTACAGCTGCGGGAACAGCATCCTTCCTGTACGCAGCACAGCTCTCAGGCTTCTCTGAGAGCACAGGCTCCACATCCCCCTCCCACAGCAAAACCAACCCTGCTCTTAAATCTTTTGAGCTACAAGCCCCCTTCAAAACACCTGCACTGTGATAAAGCTAGTCCTTGTGCAAAACAAAGACTCCAAAATCACACCTGGTTCTTTAGTTATTTTCAGAAGTCTGGGCTCACAGATGCCAATTGCCTCGTTATTTGCTGTACAATCAGGTATATGTTCAAAAGGACATATTCAGTATCCAACAGTAAGAACCTTAATTAGGCACTCAGGTTAGAAAACCAGACTCCTTACCAGGACAGAGAGGCTGGTTCATCCACAGGGAATCTAGAACATCTAAGTTAGGCTTTTGCTTTGGCTCACACTCTGGAAGAGACTTTTTCCTTTGATATAGGGAACCTGCTTTCTAAATCAGGCACTTATTTAAAAAACCTAAAGATGCACAGAAGAATAACACCCCAGACATCTATTTACTTTGCTAACACAGGCTCAGCCATTTCATTAAACATACTAAACAGCATTTTGCTTTGCTCCCTCCTCGCTCAGGTCCTACACAAAGCTTGAAAAATCAGAACTGTTTCAGAGGAGCTCAATTTTAAACAGAAGCTGCAAGAGAACAGTTTTTTAATACCATTCTTTTCTTTCAGAGTGTTAAGCCCATCCACTTCACAAACCCACAAATCTGACACAGCTTACGGTCACTGCAGATTTCTATTCAGATGCAGCAGCCCCAGAACCCCAGGGCAGAACCAGGAGGGAATAACTCTGGCAAAGGCAGCTGAAGAATGCCTCACACCTGCTCGTCCTGCACAGAAGGCTCTGCTTAGTGCTGAGTCTCCTCTAATTGCACAAATACTGAAGCCCTCTACCAAGTATTTTCAGCCAAGACAAGAAACTAAGAAAGGACTGCCTATCTGGTCTGCTAACTGAAGCTTTTCAATGTGGCTTTGTGGATGTTTGAATTCCAGTTCCCATAATCCTAAAGATAATTTTCGCTCTTAGTTGGGCCTAAAATATCCCAGAATTGTATTATGATTCAGTAAATTTTATTAACGTAATACTCAGGAGCCTAGACCTTTGAAAACTAAGGCACTAATGTTCATTTCAGAGGGTAAAAAACATTGCTTAATTGATTTGCAGCTAGATAGTCACTCTTTACCTGAAATTTATGGAAATGGAGACTTGTCTTCTTTCCGGAAGTCCCCATGACAAACAGAAAATCCGGAGTCAGCACAAAAGGAACTCTTTCCTTATTAATTCCAAGGAAGCTTTTATAATTCCCAAGAATATGGCCAAAATCAATATGGAAAAGGTTACCTTCGTAAAGAGAAGAAGACATCACAGTTAGCCTCAAATACAATAAACTGCCAAGAATGCTTACTTGTATTCACAATAATTTCAAAACCTCTTTTTTTGGGTATATATAAACACTCTTTAGTTCAGCAGAAAAGACTATTTTCTCTCTCTTTTTTTTTTTTTTTTGGTAAATATATAATTCTGTCCTCTTGGCAAAGTTGGTTTTTATTTATCTTTGGCAGTTGTTAAAAACCTGGCAGAACTGTTGTATTTTCTAAACATACACTCACAGCTTTTCAAAAATCAACCAAGGAAAGCTGGTGCCTCAGATCCGTAACAATCAGCTCCCGGCATATCATTACATGGAAAAGGCTTGTGGATTATGTTTCCAATACCCATGGGATTCTGGCGCTATCCAGCTCCCTGGCTAATGTCATTCACCAGAACATGCTTCTTCCTCACAGACCTGCATTACCAATGTCTAAACCACCCTGTACTGCACAGAGTAAGTTTGCATTATCACCCTTTGGATTTCACCCCAGGAAAGCAATGAAAAACTCCCTTTTAAGGATCGCTCCACCTACAGGACTGGAGTGTGCTGCTGCTCTTCAGATTGCTTTATTACTTTTACTGGCAGACAAGATGTCAGGATAAAAGAGCATGGTTACTTAAAAACATAGATTTGCAATAGTGGTACATGTATAAAAAAGATAAAACATCAAATGATGTAAGATGCTACTCAACAGTGATCTGTAGGTGGGACACTCTTAGATGTCCCAGCATTTCAACCAGTTGCTGAGTCCTCCCAACCTCCCAAATCCAACACTCTATGCAGACCTTTAAAAACACAGATTTGCAATAGTGGTACATGTATAAAAAAAAGATATGATGTAAGATGCTACTCAACAGTGACCTGTAGGTGGAACACTCTCAGATGTCCCAGCATTTCAACCAGTTGCTGAGTCCTCCCAACCTCCCAAATCCAACACTCTATGCAGACCTTATGACATCCTTCTGGCTTCTGTTCCTCAAGACAGCTCCTGTTAAAGACTCCAAGGCAAACCTGCTCCTGACCACCACAGAATAACCTGTCTTTCTCTGTCTCCCTTTCTACTGACCTCATTTTCTGCCAATGGGAGCTAACATTGCATTATATTATATCTAATGTTGAAATTAAAGCATTTCTTTGTCTTCTTTTCCTCAAGAACTTCTGGTGAACTTTTTTACTGTAGTCTTCAATTAGCTCATTTCTGCCTTCAGGGTGGTACTTCTTTCTAGCCTTCAACTGGTAAAACTTTAACTATAATATGATTAATATTAAATATACAGCCTTCTAACTAAGCTCAAAAGTATTTTCTGTCTCTTAGCATTATGTAAAGACTAATTATGAAGCAAGAGGATTGTGAAACTGGAAATGAATTTCTTAGACCAAATAAAACTCCTCCACATGTACTGCTCGTTCTGGGGTCCTTTCTGGGGCTTCCATAGGGAAATAAAATTACCTATGGAATCAATGTGCAGCTACAGAAATAATTCCCAGAGTTTGTAATACAAAGAAATTGTGTTTGTTTCAGGAGGATTGCAACCATCCCACAGACTTCAGTAGCAAACCAAATACACTCCACCTACACTTATTTTCCAGGATTTTCTACAAAAGTACATAAAGCAATTATATTCCTCAGAAGTGAAAATAGTCCAGTAAGACCTGAATTCTTACACAGATACAGTTCCACTGAACACTGTCAGAACCACATCCACGCTTCAGACCCGTGAATGGCTGTCTGCTTTTTAATTTTGTTTTTTATAGATCTTAGATCTAGACACTAAAAAAAAATAGTTTTACATTCCTCATGACTTAGTTTGTTATAAACTTGTCCTTAGAATAGAATGGCATTATTAATGATAAATATATAGAGCCTATATGAAGGCCAAAAGGGGTGACAATACATTTCGATGTCACAGGAGGATCTGAACTTGTAAGCAATGCTGACAGAACTGGATTCTGTCTCTTCACTCATTATTAAATGCATTATTTATTAAAATGAAAGATAAATCTAGTGAAATATAGACAGTCCCCACTTCTTCTATGAAATTCTCAAAAAACAACTCACCTGTTTCTGTAATCATAATGTTGTCATTGTGCCTGTCTCCTATTCCAAGTACAAAGGTTGCCACACAGTATCCAGCACAAGAATAAACAAATCTTTCCACAGCTGCCTGAAACTAAACATAAATCTCAGAGATGTTAAATGCTTCAATGCTAGAAACTAAATTCAGTCATTCTCAAAGTCATATGCCTTTCTGTCGACACGTATCTAGCAACAGTTAGACAAACTGTGTTATAAAACACACCGTTGCACAGCAGCGATTAAGATCACAGCCCTGCATTGCCCTCACTGTACTGTGAAAGCAGGCTCTATCCCTTCACACATATAAAATAAGCATAAAGCTGTCCACGCTTTTTGAGAAAAAAAGCTCGCAGAATGCTCTAGCAGATCAGTGGACCTACCTAAGCAAAGGAGTTGTGAGTACCCAAACCTGTATTTAAATCCTCTGAAACCACACTGCCTTTCAGTGTTCTTTGATGCCCTTTCAATCTGCTCCTCGTGTATCACTTCTAAATACCACTGACAAAGGAGTAATTTCTAAAGCATCTTGTTTCTCAGGAGTCTGGCTGCCAGCTGGATGCTAAAGGCTCTTTCACAGACATCCACAGCTGCGTACAGGGAAAATGAATGGATTTCTCAAACTCACGTAACACAATCACAACCATATGGGCTCTACGCTCCTAAATTAGTAGGGTGCATTTGAAATTCCTACTTAAAAATCCAAAGAACTCACCTTCTCTTCAATCATGCATCTTTCCTTGAGCCACTGGTTTAGTATTTCATCCTTAAATGCACCAGTGTTGCCAACTGTACTCTGTTGAATTTTGGCAATTGTTGTAGCATCTTTCACAATTTCGATCATTCCTAGAGAAAACAAGGATGAAGTTAGAAGTTATTAAATTTATATCGAAGCATATTAAAAATATGTAAAATTAAATTTTAAACTGTAGTTTTTAAATCAACTGCAGAACTTCATAGGTCATAAGCAGAAATTTATTTTACAAGCAACAGTGGTTCTTGTTCATTCCCAGCTGAAACCAGCCAGAGCTTGTAACTAGTCTGGCATCCTAAACTCCTCCATGAGAATGTAAAACCTTTTAAAAAGGAAAGAATCACATGATGAGTGGGGACCCTCTGCATAAGGCTTTTCCCAAGGAAAAGAACTACCTCCTATCCTAACCTCCTGCAGAAGCCCAGGTACCAATCACATTCCCACCAGCTTCTCTCCAACTTCACAAATTTGAGGAGCTGGAGAGAAGCTGCAGCGTTGCAGGAGCCTAGGGATGCAAGTGTTGCCAGACCTGCGGCAGAGGAACAGAGCTGGCCCTCCTGCAGTAAATCCAATTTAAGCTTAAGTGTGCAAATGTGCAGAAAGCATCAGAAATACCAGTACACAGTGAGGCACAGCAATGGGATTGCTGGTGGAAAGCTCTGGCTGTTGAGGTCCAGAGGTCAGTCCCAAAAGTGAACAGATCCTCCCAAAGGCAAATCAGCACATCACAGCAACATGGTGCAGAAACAAGGACTTGTGCTGTTCGCACCAACATGGCATGCGATGAAGGGGAAGCCAGAGAGAAAAGCAGAAACAGAGGCTGCAACACAACTCTGCACTGTAGCCAAGACTAGCAAATGCACTCTGCCCTCATACTGGGCATGCCTGTATGGGGGAAGGTCAGACTTTAGTGGAACTTATTTGGTAACTGGAAATATTATATTTTCTTTCTCTGGTTCAAGTTCAACAGTGTCTTCTAGATAAAAGCCTGGCTTCAGTTCCAGCTCCAAGATAAGCAAGCAAACAAAAATATCCCTTTCTCCCCAAAGTGATTCAAAGCAGTTTCTCATTCGGTTTCAGTTTGATTTTCTCTGTGAAACAGATGAATCTCTATCTACTCACAGTCCTACCCTTTTGCAATTACTGAATTATGTGCAAATTTTTCAGTAACTGAGTAAAAATGCAGTCATCTCTTCCTGCCTCTGCCTTCCACGCATGGCTGGATTCATGGCTGAATACCTCCTGGAGGTATTCTGTCTTGACATTGGCCTTGATTTGTTTGTAATAAAACTACTGTGGAAATAGGACCTCCAAAACCCACCACCAACACCACCAAATTAAAAAGCTCTGCATTTTGGTCTGTGCTTGTCAAGCTGTTGTTTCCCTCCTGGGAGTGAGCTCCAGATCACATTCCAGCTGTTGAGAAGGCTTCCCCTGCCTGTGCTCACAAATCTCCCTCTACTGGACAACAAACTGCTGCAGGAGGCATCTTCTGCTTCCCTTTGCATTTAAAACTTGCCCCAGCATAGCTATGATGATTAGCAACGTGAAAAGTCCCCAGATTTTAAAGCAGCTGCTAATGAAAACCCTTTACTGATCATTCTCCACTGCACCGCCAAAAAAGTGGTATAAAACCTACACAGAATGTTGTGCAGTTTATTCTGCCCAAGTAAATACTTTAAAGGTATCATGATAAAAAAAGTTATCTGATGGAATAGTATAGCTCTACTGGCAAATCCTTCTAAACGCAGACTTGCCTCTCAGTAGGTACGGTTAGTCCTAGAGAAGGCTTCAGTAACTGGGATAGAGAATCTCAGCTGGGCTATATTCAACCGGGAAGAAACGCAGCAGTAAACGCAGGATGCTATAGTGTTTCTGGGGATCTGCGCTACTGAAGCAGGTGACTTAAAAATTAAGTGCCAGCTTGAACTTCTTAAATTTGGCAGTGATGCAGCATAGTAAGTAGTGATAATTGCCTTGCAGAGCCAGGAGCATATGGCCACGTCAAAGGGAGAGAGAATACGGTACGACCTTTTACCACTGATACATACAAGAAAAAGTTCCTCCTACAGAGGTCTATTTGGCAGCAGCAGTGGAGAGGATGGATGTTTCCAAAATTGTAAACTGCATCAAATGCAGATGTCTTCAACAGACTGAGAGTTGAGAGAGTTCTAGCCAGGAGGGGATGCCAGCCCCAGGTGTAAGACACCTCGCTGTTTCCCTGTGCTCAGTGTAGAATGGGGTACTGTCCTTGTGTTGATACACAGAAACTGCCCCAAGTTCCATGGAAATACTAAGAGGGAGGGAAGAAGACCACATATGAATTTTGGGACAGGACATTTGCATGCCACTTCTCTTTGGTTTTGTTCCAAACAAGCATAAGCTCTACATGAAAGTGTCCCACACTGGGTGTTACTAATTTAGGCTGCGGGTATTCTCAGCAAACTGAACAGGAGTCTTCGTGTGATGAACCAAGCCCCTACTGTGGTGCTGAAAGGATGCTAAATTCTTACATATTCCCCATGCATATAGGAAAATAAACAATTATTTCCTTGAGATAAAAGAATGGGGAGTCAATTAAGAATTCAGGAAAGAATAATGAAGTCTGTAGCTTAAGAATGCAAGGATCACTGGCAGAATTCCTCCACCTTCCTCCATTATTTCAATACATTACATTGTCTTAAGATGATTTTAAACAAAAGTATATTAAATCCTAAAAATGCCTCTAAAAATTAGGGGGTTTTATAACACACCTAAAGGAGAGGGAAAAAACCAACCATCCTTATATTTACAGTTAGTATTTTGATATATAATGTTTTGTTTCCTTTATTATTATTCTATCAATACAATTTATTTAATTTTTAAATACTTATATTAGGAGAGAGGAAACTCTTTTGTGTCATACTACCAAGTATTTTATCAGTGAGTTTGGGTTTTCTGCATTGCTGAGATATCTTGAAGTCAAAAGTAACGATGATAAAATATTTATGTGGCAATGGATTTTAGAGAGGAAGTAATTACAGAAATATATTTAGAAGAGTTCTTAATTTTCCTGGATACCAGGAAATTGTGCAATGTGGATATGCTAGGGTACATAATATATGCAAATCCAACCACAAACAGCCAGTTTGGGGCCATCAGGATGTCTAAATTATACATCAGTTTGGCATTTCTGGATGTAATTGAACTCTTCCAGAGCTGATCAGCTTGCTCTACACATCATCACACAGTTCTCCAGAAGCTTTGTAAGCAACTACTTGATTTCTCCCACCATGAATTCTGGAAAATAGATCATCTGTGCTGCAGAAACTAATGCCCACTGAGAAATATTGCCTGAGCATCCTGGTCAGTAATGCTGTTGCTTGTGTGTAGTATAGGGTGTGAAGCTTTAGGTCAGGAAAAAAACATAAATGTTTTGCTATTTTAACTCTTTTTTCTATTTGATTCCTATCAACATGTTAAAACACATCTTGAATAAGTCACTTTCACTGCTTTTTCATACCAAATATTGTTATTAAGAGAAACTTGCAGCAGGGCCTAAACAGCTGGACTTGCACAGGAATCACAGTCAGTTAAGCTAGTGCAGCAGGTGAAAGATACCCATCAGAAGCACAGAAATCTCAGGATCTCAGGATCATAGTGCATACCAGAATAGTTGTCCTATGCCCGACTTCTCTACCCATGGCATTTTGAATTTCTAACCACAGTAAGCGTGATCACATACCTATTTTGTTCCCTGTAGAAATACAACCATACGGTAACAAACAGAGGTCCAAAGATTCTGCTTCCCAAATGGATTCCATAATTCGAAGAATCTAATAAAAACAAAAGTATATGCTAATTTATTTCAAATTATTTGGACATTACTTATTACTCACACAACTAACACTACTCAGACTTCTGAGATGGGGCTAAACTTACTTGTCTATTTTACAAATTAAGACAAAAATACAGAAAGTGCACAGCCATTTAAGATTATCAGTTACAGAACCAGGGTTTGTATTTCCTCATCTGTCCTGTGCTCAGGCAATTTCTACTGTTCTAAAAAGTATTAATGTTTCTACATGAGCTGAAACCAAATACATTAGCGAGTATGTCCATTTTTTCCCATAAATATCCCCAAAAGTGCTAACAAACCAGTTTGTCAGAACAATCACTGAAATATTACTACAGCAATGCCATCTACTCATTTCTTTTTAATTTGTAACGTCACCCATTGTATAACTAAATGATAAAAATGCTTCATTAGAAAAAGAGGCCATCTTGCACTAAATAAGATTCCTTCTCTAGAACACCAAAGTGTGAAGTATGTATGGCACGTAGCAGAGGACAACTGGGTAACAGTATGTACTAGGTCTGGCTGGGATGAAGTTAATTTTCTTCAGAGCAGCTCATATGGTGCCATGGTTTAGGCTGGTGATGAAAGCAATACTGGTAACACATCGATGTTCCAGCTGTTGCTGAACAGTGTTTGCAGAGTATCAAGGCTGCCTCTGTTCTCATTCTGCCCCACTGTGAATAGACCGGGGGTGCACAAAAGGTTAGGAGTGGACACAGCCAGGCAGATGACCCAAACCAACCAAAGAAATATTCCATGCTAAATAGTGTCATGCTCAGCAATAAAACAGAGAGGAAGGAGGTGAGGTAGGTTAACCATCTTTTGCACAGGAACTGGTTGGGCATTGGTCTACCCATGGGATGTGGTGAGTGACTGCCTTTGCGTCACTTGTTTTGTTTTCTTTCTCTCTTCTTCCACTTCTCCTTTGCTTATTAAACAATTTTTATCTCAACCCACAAGTTCTCTTGCTTTTATTCTTCCTTTCCTCTTTCCCCTTCCCACCAGGGTTAACCCTCAACATGGTAACATAGAAACCTGTAGTACAAGATAGTTTTGACGTCAGCCTTGCCATACACAGTTAAAAAACAAAAGACAACCTCCTATCTCATATGGACAGTAAAGATAAGGTATACACACTTCTGAAAAGTAAAATGATTTGAAAATATTTGAAAATATTCATGTTTTCATTTTATACATTTTAGCTATCATACCTGTAAAATAAGCATGTCCTGACGGAGGTCATCTCCATGTTTGAAGATTATGCCTATGGTTTCATTTGATAGAGCTGTTGGATCTGCACATTTGAACTCGAGCCAGAGGGGCTTCTTCTTAGATGCCATTACTTTACATTTTTCTATCTGTGAAAGACACAATTATTGCTAGCCATTGTACTCCAACATCAACACAACTAACCTTTTTACACACCACCAACTTCCAATCAGTTATACCCCAAGAAACACACTGAGAGCACATGTAAGGAATGGTACTCAATTGCCACATAAAGCCTCACTCAACTTGCACAACTTTTAACACTGTCCATGATAAATGAAAAAGCATGCCTGAAACTGGATTTAGCTTATAAATCTGCTTCAGACAGGAAAAAACCCTTTTAAACCAGGAATACAAGACTCTGACAAAACCAGGAAATAATGGACCCTCACAACAAGCACTCTGACAGGTGCTTTGCAAAACCAGAACATTATCCAATACAATTTACCACAACATCCACCCTTATGACTTCTAGCAACTTCAGTTATTCCAGATTGCTTGATACAATTCCCTTAGCAAATCATTCAAATTCATGGGGAAAACAGCATTTGTGAAACTAATTTAACATAATCATTCATAAAATAAGAAAATAAATTCCCTATTTAGTTTTATTACATTTTTAATCTTGAGAAATTCAGCATTGAAACTACTGAAATGGCATTATTTCAAATGTTTTCTCAACTAATTACGTCTAATGCAACTGTGGTATGTAATACTTTCTGTTCTGGAATTCCTGGTTCATTGTTGAACATTACTATGTACCATAAAGCCATCTAAAATAATAAAAGCAATTGCATATTAGTGTTTGAGACCTGACAGAATCGATGACATCAGAGAAGAGTATTTTGGAATATTCATGTTTCATAGACGGAGATTCTGAGCTAGTAGTTTAAAACAAAACAGTTTTTACCATACTTTTTTTTTAAAAGGAAAGATGTTAAATCTTTGAACTTACTAGAAACACTGATTTTGCTTCTACTATTTAGACTAGGTTTAGACTACTCAAACTTTGGAGTTTGAAGATTATGGACAAGTAGACTTGCTAGAATGAAGATCAAATGAAAGCTTACCAATACAGTTTGTTATATCAAATGGTTTTTTTCATATAGTTTGGGGAAAAAAGAAAAAGGCTTTAATCCATCTATTTTTGGACATAGTTACCTTCCCTTGTAAATCTATTGCTGCCTTCATCTAGGAAGGTCCTGGTAGGGCTATATACTTTCCAACTGAAGGAAAACTAGAAAATCCAGAAACATCTTTTATTTTATTTTGAAATCCACTTTTTGTCATGCATTTGGTGATTTTTGTACACAAAAGAATAGAGAGAGGAAATATAATCAAGAAAAGAATATTTAAGAAGCTACAAATTCTGTATTTCTGAGTAAACAATGTTTGAATTGACTTCTGTACTGATAATACCTCAGCTGTGCCCAACTGGGAGGTGTTTAACTCTCAGCTTGAAGACAGACTAGTTTATAGCCTGTCTGTCAAGGTACAGGTTTATCTAACAGAAACATGGCCAGATGTAGACAACTAATACCAGTTACCCAAATGAGTACCCTACTATTTGGCAATTCCTTAGGTTGGATGGTTTGTCTGTCCTTAGCTAAGAGAAAAATCAAGGGATTCTTTTCTTGTAGGCTCCTTGCTGCACATCAAGTGAATCCAATGATCTTCACTGACCCAAACCTCACACTGCATAGTAGATGCATGAGCCAATTCCCTCTCACTACACATCTGCTGATTTATTAATTTTGTTTTTAACTCTGAGTCGACAGAAGCCACTGTGATCTCACAACAAAACTGGAGGCAGCAACACAGAAAAAAGTGTTTCTTAATGTATCTCCAACAAAATCTTAATGTATTTTCTAATAAAAACAACACAGAGATATTGAAAAATCAGAAATAGCTAAAGGTAGGCATTTTTGTTAGTAAGATGAAGGTCTGGACCAAACTTAATGATAGATATGAATCAGGGTAGGACAGAGAAAGCACCTGGAAGAACAAAACCTGAATATCCCAAAGCCCCTGAAGTCAGATAAAACAGTTTTATACAGGTATTTAATGTAAAAAAAAAAAAAAAAAAAAAAAGTCAGTTACCTGGTTAAATCCTGGATTAAACTAATGGAAAAATCATAATTGCTATTTAATGATTAGGATTTTATGGGTTGTTGCATTCTTTTAGTGCATGGTGGCATGTCATTACATTTAGAAAAATGCTAGTAGCTTTGGGAACAAAAACTTACTGAGTCCATGAAATGTCATCGTATTCACAGTGAAATAAGACCTTTAGGCATATTAGCAAAAATTTTTACCAAATGACACATATTTGCAAATAGGAGATTTTTTTCAGAAAGGATTTGTAGAAACTCAGAATATACTTACCACTAGGGCTCCTGCTCTTAGCCCAGGATCATACGGAACTCTAAAACTTTCTGGAAGTTTGCTGCTCTGTAGTTTTTCAAGCTTTTGCCTCAGCTGTGCAATAACTGCAATTACAAGTGAGAAAACACAAAGAAATCAAAACTTGGAAAGCAAAGAAGTTATAGGTAATCAAACTTGTTAAGCATCATGATTTAGCTAAAAACCTCCTCCGTTTAGCTACTTTTAAAATTGCTTTCCTCAAGGATCTCCTGATTTGAGGAATGGAGAAAGACTCTTTAACTTGCACTGTTAACAGTCAGGGCTGTTTCAGATATCTAAAGGTAAAGTCTACAAGCACCTCAAAAGTTATGTGCCCTTTACACAGTCTTAGAAGCACTTGCACAGTGCTTTGTGTTCTGAAGACTCAGGAGATTACACTAAACTGTTACCTGTCATTTAAAAAACAAAACACAGCATAACACATCAAAGAATATTTTGCTCTTATAACTGCCAAGGAAACATTGAACTATCTACCCCAAAGGCTCAGAAGAAGGAGGCAATTAAAAGCACCTCACATTTTCCAGTATTATTTTGACCTACCTCATGCTCTTGCAGACAGACTCATGGCTTTTGAATTCTTGGAGTCAATTATACCACAATCCTTATGATCTCTATAGAGATACTGGATTTCCTATCCTCCTATAACTGGTTTCATAGTGCAGCCCTGTTAATCTCACGTTCCAGTAAGAAGAAAATTTGCTGTACATTTATATGAACAAGAATTTTAATGTTCGTATCTAAACTGAATCTTTTCATTCATAAAACCTCAAGCTTTTGAATCTTCAGCTTAGAACAGCAAGCATTATACTACATATGACACACTTTGTTCATCTCAGCTAGCAGGTGTTAGCAGCATAAGCAATACACTGGGTATTACCCTTCATTAGGACAAAGACCTGAACTCTGTTCTAAAAGAAATTGCAGCTACACAGCAGAGGCTGAATATATGTGGTCAAGTAATTTTGGAGATAAAAATTAAAGAGCAAAAAAAATTGTAATAAGAAAGGTAGACATGGACCTGGATTCTTAATATACAAAATCATAAAAATCATAGAATCATAGAATGGTTTGGGTTGGAAGGGACCTTTAAAGGTCATCTAGTCCAACCTCCCTGCCATGGGCAGGGACACCTTCCACTAGACCAGGTTGCTGAGAACCCCGTACAATCTGGCCTTGAAAGTTTCCAGGGATGGGGCATCTACCACCTCTCTGGACAACCTGTTCCAGTGCCTCACCATCCTAATCACAAAAAATGTCTTCCTTATGTCTAATCTAAACCTATTCTCCTTCAACTTAAGGCCATTAACCCTTGTACTATCACTCCATGCCCTTGTAAGCACTCCCTCCCCAGATTTCTTGTAGGCCCCTTTAGGTACTGGAAGGCTGCAATAAGGTCTCCCTGGAGTGTTCTCTTCTCCAGGCTGAACAACCCCAACTCTCTGAGCCTGTCTTCATAGGAGAGGTGCTCCAGCCCTCTGATCATCTTCATGGTCCTCCGCTGGACTTGCTCCAGCAGCTCCATGTCTTTCTTGTACTGAGGATCCCAGAGCTGGATGCAGTACTCCAGGTGGGGTCTCACAAGAGTGGAGGGGCAGAATCTGGAGAACCTGCTGGTCAAGGTTCTTTTGATGCAGCCCAGGATACGGTTGGATTTCTGGGCTGCAAGCACACATTGCTGGCTCATGTCCAGAAAATTAAGACATTTCAAAAGTTGCTATCAAATAAAGAAAGTCAAGCCAAAAGAATTACCTGAGAACTCATGGAACACAAACGTTACACTTATGCTAAAGGCTTTTAGAAAAAAACTACCTAGCAATGCCACGTGACCAATGTTGTATCTCCTCTGGTAAAAAATAAATAAATCTGACAGCAAGATACAGGAGCTAATAAGTGGACTTTATAATTAGACAACTTTCAAAACAAAACAAATCCTTCAACCCTAGGTTGTAGTAACTTGGGTCATGAAACAGCTTTCTAAAATGTAATTATTGATTTCCTAGACAAATCTAGCTTGATTTCAGTAAGTCTCCTCATTGTACTGTAATGTGATTTGAAAATTGTATGCCAATCAATTGAAGCTAGTAAAGATTAGGAATTAGCTGATTTTACAATGCAAGTGAAGGTGCTTGCTGAAACAATTTCAAGTTGATCTGGCTTAAGAACAAAGTGCTGTGCATTTTAAGAGAAGAAACAGCTGCATTGACACATTCTTGGTAGGCAAATCATCTAATAGAGTCGTGATGAAAGCAGATAATCCTATGCATGCTGTAATATTATGATCTTAAGAATTTATTTCATACAGAATCATAGAATGGTTTGGGTTGCAAAGGACCTCAGAGATCATCTACTTCCACCCCCCTGCCATGGGCAGGGACACCCTTCACTAGACCACGTTGCCCAAAGCCCCATCCAACCTGGCCTTGAACACTTCCAGGGAGGGGGCATCCACAACCTCTCTGGGCAACCTGTTCCAGTGCCTCACTACCCTCATAGTAAAGAATTTCTTCCTAATATCTAATCTAAATCTACCCTCCTTCAGCTTAAGGAAATTAAGCTTATTAAATAAATAATAAGCTTATGAAATAAATTATTTATTTATTATTACTTGCTATGTTCATATATAAGCAAAGAGATTACATGAAAAGTAAAAGAAACAGTCTGACAGCTTGATCGCTACTGGACTAGTATGGGCCTAACCGGAAGGAATTTATTCTTTAAAAAATTCCACAAATATGAGGAAAAAAATACATACAAGAATTAGATGAGGCTGCATGACAGAATGAAATGAAACAGTCCAAAACATTTAGACTGAAAATATAAACAACTACGAACATTAGAAATGATGAGGCAAAAAAGAAGCAATAAACTAAAGAAGAAATTTTAGGATATACATTTTTAGAAATGTAAGAAGTAGAGGGTGCCTGTAGGAAAAATTATATCCTCAATAATCTGAGAATAAATTAAATTAGATTCAGCATTAGCAGGACACTCTACAGTTTCAGGAAGCCTTATTCAGTGAAAATGTCAATTATATAAGTCATCTTTCAATGTTCTGCTGTACGTTACATACAAAGATTCTTTAACTTCAAAACCTGGTGGGTGTTAATGTGATTGCTTTCTCTTGAAACTTTTCTTCTTTGCCCACATATCATTCAAAGATAATGTATTATGGAGGCCACTGCTGTTAAAGACATGTACATCCCCAAGGCTGTAAAGTTTCTTTCCAAAGCATGGGATTCTGACCAAATATATTTAGATTATGGAGCATTTTAAGAAAGTTGATTAGAAAGAATATTCTATATAGGGGTTCAGTAAGTCCCCTACTGAACTAAGTAATGTAACTGATGCTACATTAAATATTGGATAATATTTGCACATTTCCTTCAAATTTCTTTTGAAGAAGCCACTACAGCCACTTCTGCACATCCAGAGTGGAACGGCTTTCTGAACTAAGGACTTCCTGGCCTGGAACACACGAGGCTGAACATGCAGGAAGAGCTGGTCTCTCTATAGCTTTTAGAATTTGAGTATTGTCTTATGCCTTCTCACACTCACTCCCAACACCAAGCCACTAATAGGAATGATACAAACAAGCTTTTAAGGAAGTCGAGGCAGGGAAAAAAAGGCAGGCAAAACCCAGAGGTAAACAGGCATTGCGTGACCCAATGTGTTTACTCCTGTGAGCAGTGTTTACAGGAACTAGAAATAACAATACCACATCTGTGTCTCACAGGACACCTCTTCAGCACATCACAAAGCCCCAAAGATGTGCTCTGCATATTCACTGCTGATCCACCAGCTACCTTCATGGCATAGCAGAGGCTGTACTGGACCCCTCCCTGGTCTTCTAGGCAAAACGCAGAGGTAAACAGGCATTGCGTGACCCTACTGCAGCTTCCAAAGCAGTGCTTACAGGAACTAGAAATAACAATACCACATCTGTGTCTCACAGGACACCTCTTCAGCACATCACAAAGCCCCAAAGATGTGCTCTGCATATTCACTGCTGATCCACCAGCTACCTTCATGGCATAGCAGAGGCTGTACTGGACCCCTCCCTGGTCTTCTTGCCAAGAGTCTTTTAGTGACTGCTTAGCGTAAGGCTGTGTTTCTTGGCAAGCATCACTTTTTATTTCCAGTTAATATTTCTGTCCTGGGTTGTTTCTTTCTTCAGTGCTCGCATTCAGCTAAGGATTACGTACAAGAACTTAGCTGTTTCCCAGTTGCATGGCATGAAGTTCAAGAAGATAAGCCACAGCACGGGAATATACTGGGTGTCTATAACATTGATATTCTTCCCTTTTTGGGGTGGAACAAGCAAACAAATGTATTATTGGTTCAGTCACTATTATCTTACACTAGCATTTTAAAAGAAATAATAATGATGCCTTTTGACAGTAATTTATCCATGAATTTTCAAAATAAAGAGTACAATTTGCTGCCTAGATTTTCACACCCAAAGAAAAAATACAATATTATTACAAATGAAGAAATGTCTGTTAGCAAATACCTTGAGAAGTGACATCATACTTTTCTGCAGAAACTGATTTTATCTCCATTGTGACTTTATGCAGCAATTCAATTACTTGAACCTGCTTCATGAAATCGTGTAGCATTGCTTTTCCACAGCCTCTAAGATATGCTTCTAGGATGACCGCAAACCTCTGCTGGTAATGCATGGACTGGGCAATCTCACTTCTTAAGAACCAAAACAAGAAGTGACCAATTCTTTTGTTCTAGAGATGAAAAAAAATACTACAATCAGCATGCATTTCTTGACAAAGGGTTTTAATAATGTAAGTAACTTTAGCATAAGTTGGCTGTATTTTGAAATACTTACTCTCAAACCCCGTTTTAGCAGAAATCTGGCTAATGCACTGTCATGATATGGCTCAAATTTCACAGCCTGAGGAATACAAACATAGAAGACATGTTACTGACATATTTAAGATCCCGTTGCACTTACACTTTACTGATGACATCTAGACAGAGCATTGCTGCAAGAGGAGAAAATGTATAACAAAACAGGTCGTTTGAGGAAACAAAGCTGAAAAAAACAAAGCAAGGCTTCTCTGTGTTTGACTCAAGAAGCACTTTTTATTTGCAAGTTTCTTTTCAGGTATATTATTAATGTGACAAATAAAGCAATGCAGGGAGTAGCTAACCAGCAAGACCGATCTGAGCTCACGAAGGCACGCGAATAAAGCAACATCGTTCTCAGGCCATAGCAAAACCCAGCAAGATCAGAAAACAGTCTGCAGTCTGAATGACCCAGAGAAGGCTTGAAAAGATTATTGCCAAATGAAATGATGTATTTGTAATCATTCTTTAATTAAAGTTTTCAGTAATAAAGCACTGTTTTTTGACAACATCCACCACTTTGGGACTGGGGTAGCAGGGTTCACCACTGGGCTCCCCAGCAAGCATGGGATACAGGAGCAGCTTTTCGGAGCACCTAATCTCAGGCACTCCGGCCTTTAGCCCCTAAATGAACCACAAAATAGAATAAAGGCTCTGATGCACATCCTATAGTAATGGAGTACAATTAAGAGGAAGACTTCAGCAGAGCTTTTTTTTTTTAAATGACTCTGTGAGCACAGATGTATTTTTTCTCTTCCAACAGCTGCTCCCCTCCACCCAAGCCCACAGATAATCCAAAACTACTGCCAAAAAAGGGTGGAAACAAAAAGTCAACAACTTTTTTGAAGTGTCAGGATTGCAATTTTTTAGCTGTTATTCTCCCTCCTATCCCAATAACCAAGTGTATTGGTCTAGCAGAAGACTATCACACTTCCAGTACTGGGCTGTGCCAGGAAATTTGTCCACTTCAAGTGGTTTTTCCAGCAGCTTCTTTCCCATTGTTTGAAGGACTCAAGTTTATAGGACGTTTGTACTAAGATCAATGGGGAAAAAAAGATATGCATGTATATCCCATGGCAATAAAAAAGAAATAAGCAGCATACAATCTCTGGAAGAGTCACAAAATCCCTGTCGTGGACCAAGGGGGTTGGTGAATGGCTTCAGGTTCTGGGAATAGAGAGCCAGGAAGTGGCACGTAGGGAGATTAAAAGAAAACAAAGGGATGTGCAGAGAGCTGGGTGCCTGTAGTACGCTCAGCTTTCAGAAGCAACAAAGTATGCAAACCTCTAACGATAGTTATTCAACAGAATATAATGGCTCTTTCAAGATCACTGTGGTCTGCAGCTTGCAAAGAAGCAACCAAGCCATCAGCAGAGGTCTACTAAATTCATCAAACAAATCACAGGGTTTTATAAACTCTTAAAAGTACTGCGGCACACAGTTGTATTTTTTATTATTAAAATATCAATACTATTTCTGAAATGTAAATTGTCCTGTGGGTTTATCCAACAGGGAAAAAATAAGAAAAAAATAATTGAGCTTTTTCAGTCAACCTTCTAGAACAAACCAACTTATAAAAATGCTACAAAGACTTGTTCTTTCCAGCTGCTGGCTAAGAGACAGACAAGAAAGTCAAGCACCAGACTTGCCCTTCTACAGTATCATAATTCTGCAAGAACTGTCTTGACCATCTCTGCAATACTGTTTTATTTCCCCAAGCAACACCATCTTATTTTGGAAAGATAATGAGAACTCACAAACATAAACTGATTTAAAAATACATAGATCCTATTACTTTGTCTGTGAGATTATGAGGTATGAGGCTTTTTTAATAAAAATTAATTTGTACTGAAATAAGGCACCCAAAAGCAATAATTATTACATAAATTCAAATGGATTTGCTTACAGTTCTAAGAAAGCCTATTAAAAACCTCATTCTGGTATACGCTTTGCTGAATGTTCTCAGTGCATATCCTTTAAAAACAATTTAAGAATGAAAGCCAAACAACTGTCCATTGCTTCAAAACAAAACCTCTTTATATTAAGGTTGCAAATGTGTTTTATAATAAAAGACTATTAGAAAAATGTATTATGAGTATCCTTATTATGCTTATGGTTTAGAATTAATTACTTTTAAAAGTCAACCTCATTTTTCTTTTTTCTTCACAAAGTCATGTATCAACATTTGAATACCAACAATAAAAGGTAGTCATTAACAACCGACGTCTGCTGCAATTTCATCAGGTCCCTCTGCCTTGTCAGTTCAGCACAAGAGCTTTACTCACTGCCGTACACAAGCAGTACAGTTGTTGGTGTTTGTTTTACAATGAATTTTGTTGTATGTTAACTATCCTATCCATGTTTTATCAAGTGCACAGGGAACAACAGACCTTCTATTTGGCTGCTTCTATTTGTGATAAACTTGGGGGAAAATAAAATGTTTGTTTGATTTCTAACTCTACCAGAAGGTAAAATGGGAATATCCTCTGCAGAGTGAAATAAGCCATAAAACTTTCATAAAGGCACGCATGTGAAAAGTGATGACCGTTTGCAGAAAAGATATCATGGATGTGTCCATCAGAGCAGAGGAATGGCTGACATCCATCCTCTGAAAAATGTGGATTTTCAAATGCACGGCGGTACCAATACTTTGCTGCAGGATGCTGACAGCCTATGCTCTGTTGTTAGCCAAGGAAGGAAAGACAAGAAAGCAGCAGAGAGGTAAAACTTGGGATCTAGTATTTTTTTCCTTTTGGGAGATGGCAACCTTTTAATTTCTTACTACATCTCCTACTAAAAATGACACAGTGAAGTTAAGCTACTATAATTTTATGCTACAGTAATTTAATTTACTGTTAAGAAAGATTTATTCTTTTTAAAACTCTCCAGATTTGTACTTCCTGAAAACAAATAATTTCAAAAACAAATCCCAGTATTTCCCCCATTCTCTCAGGCACTTTGATATCAACCAATCACCATCCCAAATCCCTAATTTGGATACAGAAGCAAATAAAATTGCTGAGCCACATGTAGACAGAAAAGCTCACAAGCCAAGCATATATATAGCAGCAGCTACGTGGGTGGCCCAATGAGGTAACCGTTGCGACTCCTTTGGTTAATGCAGAAGTGCATAATTCTGCCTGGGGAGTCTAATCTTCAGACAAGCAAAGACAAGGCTAAAAAGGCCTTGTTTAAAGCACTACTGATGCGCAGCAAAATCTGAAATACTAACTTCACTTTTCTGGGAACCTGGGCTCTCTCTGAACTTGCAGAAATTAAAAACCCCATCCCGCAGCTTCCCTGGCTGCAGCAGTTCCTTTTTTTTTTTTTTTTTTCAAATTTTAATTTTGTCCTCTGATTCTTTGAAAAAAGTATTTCCTGCTCTGCAGGGTGACAGCCTTTCCACATGAACCAGAGCCCTGTCTGGTGTGGGAAGCCTGTGGAGTAGCCCTGCTTCAGGGGACACGTTTAGTAGGAAGAACTGCAGGGTTACACCTTTCATCAGGCATCAGACATGACTTTGCCACTGACAGCCTGCCCAGCTCCGGCACCGCATTGCAAAAAAGCAAAGAAACCAATCTTCCTGTATAACTGATATAAACCTTCCCGACGTTTCATCTGGCAGATCCACACACAAAGCACTTCAACTTGATACAGTGGTGATTCACTGCCATTAAAAACACAATTTTTCACCCAGTTTCCCAGATTGATTTATTATGGAGTCCTAGCAACCCTTTATTTACTTTTTAAAAATTTTTGGAAGCTTCTAGATAAATTTGGTCCCTTTAACAGTACAGGACTGAAGTCATCGCAGCATACTATGTAAATACACTGTTGTTGTTGACCTAAAACCCAACCCCAGATTTTTCTTCAGGCCTTGCCCATGTCAACATCTGCCTTTACTTTCTTTCTGTCTACACTCT